AAAAAAAAAAAAAAAAAAAAAATCAGCTCACGGGTCCTGAAAAGGTAGGTTTTCCACGTCAGGTAGGGCAAAATTACACCTGTCTCTTATACACATCTAGATGTGTATAAGAGACAGGCATTAACCCTCCCAAAAGGAACATAAAATGTGGGTTTACTTCTTAACGTACGAGTCGGGACATTAATAAAGAAACTTGAAATAAGATTACAATCGAGATTACTATGAATGATATTATAAAGAAACTTAAGATCAAGAAAATCCCTACGAAATTTTATTACAGTAAATAGGCCTATTTATGTGTGTATACGTACATAAAAAATTGAGTAGTTGCATACGTATTCTTTTTTCCATGATTCGATAAACCCCAAAGAGGAAGGAGAGTTGAGGGTCCTACCCCGGGAAAACTTTGATTCCTAGAAGCCTGGAAAAATAAGCTTTCCCTTATAATTTTCCGATTGTAACAAAAAAAAAATTAGCTCACGGGTCATGAAAAGGTAGGTCTAGAATTTTTTTTTCTTTTTTTTTTGTTGCACAAGGGAAGGGTCAGGACCGATGACCCCCCTCCCCAGATCCGCCAATGTGAATTGCGAGAAAATGTAACTCGGTCGGAGACTGGATAAACATTCTCTTTCCCATTTTTCTCCTCCTTCCGTCTTTATTTTCTTGCATTTCTTTCCGATCATACAAAAAACTCCAGACACTATATATTTTTTGCCAAAAAGTGGGGGCCCGGGCCTCCCGTCTCCCCCCCCCCGGTTCCGCCGGCCATGCTTACTTTCTTTTCCACAAGGACCACCTCAGCCACTCCATTTAGATGGCCGGAAGTGACACTTTTATTTACCGGTAATATTCATCATCATTATAGTCTATATGAAGCGCCAGCAAATTTCTCATGATCTTAAATCAAGGATTTTCCATCCACAGAGACCTAATTAATATGAGCGATGTACGCCTACCATAGAAAATGAATATGGGGTGGGGGCGTGCACCCATGGGTGCGTGAGAGTTAACACCCAACCATTTTGGGGCTGAGGATTTTGAGGATCTGGACCTCTGGGAGCCCGGAAGTTGAACTTTCATACCTTCAAAATCTTCCCAATAATTCATATCAATAATATAATACAACAATTATTTGTTTTAATACAATTTAGGGGGTGCGATCGCACCGTCTGCATCCTCCCCAGATAATTACTGAGATCGAAACAGCTTTTGGGTAACGTGGTTGTATTTGTTTATATTTAATATTTTAAAATACAATTTTGATCTACCCACAATTTTTCTTTTAGAAATTTTCAAATCATTACACATTAATCATTATTTAGCAGTTCGAAAACTCTGCACTTCAGTGGACGCAGCCGCTTCTAAACAAAAAGGTTAGGCACAACTCAGAGGAATTAAATAAATATTTGCATTAGCTTCTTTTCACTTTACCCTAGTGTGCTTAGTATTAATCCCGCCTACTTTTATGGAAGTTGAGCTTGCGAAGAATTGTGAAGAGCTTCGCTACTTTGGATTTGGAAGCGATAATGCGACGTTCTTTTTCATTGACCCGGATGGAGGTAATCAGGGTGTTGACCCATTCCAGGTGGAATGTGAAATAACAGATGGAAGCTTTACAGGTAATTAATGTTTTATCCTAATATTATTACTATTAATGATAATAATATGCAATATCAAACTTATTGTAGCACTAGATACACCAATCGGCCGTATTTTGAAACAGCGCCACCAAAGTCTGAATACACCCCACTTTTCACGGGTGAGAGCAGCAAGAAAACAACCAAAAGACTGCAGGTTTTTTTGTTTTTTTCTCATTTTTTTTTTCAAATGCAAGGCTACAAGAAAGACATCTACACCCAGTATCACGCATTCGGCGTTTGACTCACGCATTTGTGGTCTGTCTCACGCAAAAAATGAAATGCCTTGTTAGGAAATATAGGCCTACTATTTGTGACCTTTGTAGCCCTCTCTTCTTTCTAAAAATTCTCCATCTACAGTACTTAAAATATCATGGTAACATGTATACTAGCTGCACTAATACTTCACTGTGAATATGTCGTTTTATAAAACGCTCTGGGATAAGCAAGCCGGGAAAATGCAATCCTAAATGCATTTCGAGCATTTAAGAAATTAATCTAGTGGGCCAATGTGTCTAACTTGGAATCTCTGGAAAGAAAGCCGTGCAGCGGACACATATATTTATTTATTTATTTAGACCTTTTATAAATTTGGCATATTTATATACAAAAGCACAATGAAGTACAAGAAAGACATAGGTTAGCGGCATGCCAAGAGAGAATAATAGGCAAATGCCCGACTCCAATGTGAATTATCTCTAAACATGCAATTAAAAAAATAAAATAAAAAATAAGAACAAGAATTCAAAAAACATTTTATAAATTTTACAACAAAAAATAATTAATTTATTTTCCAAGATGTTAAAGTTACACAGATAAACATTAGTTTTAAGCGTTGTCTGGATGTCCCTGCATAGTAGTTACCAGGTTCTCGGAAAGATATTTCTGTTTAAATCGGTGGAGTGCATACCCCGTCCTGTTCCTAAAAACCGAATAAATATCACCTCTTCACTAAAACCAATATATACCGATACCACCACATTAAATTGATTAGCTTTTGCATAATCTTAATAACAAACAGAAGGACAAAAAAATCAATTAGGCAGACAGACAGACAAACAACAATGAATACACAACTTTCTTGGTGGAGATAGTAACATCAATTAAATTAAGAAAAATAAAGCAACACAATCAGGGGCGGATCCACTAGGGGGTACGGGGCACGTTCCCCTTCCCCGTTTTGCCACTAAATTTTAACAATTTTGATGCAAATCAATATTATGTGCTACTCACCTATTCTGAAACTGTTGTGCCCTCCCGCCTGTTTGAAAAACCGCCCCTGACAGTACTCCATTCTATCTAAAACTTTTATTATCTTTTTGAATGACTTTTCAACATGTTCATTTTCTTATCTATTAATTTTTTTTTATTTAGGCCGAACAATCGTAACACCAACAATTAACCTTGTAGAAGATGTTAATGGGTACGAATCAAGTGGTTCCTTCATACGCTATATTACGTACGCGATATCCATTGATCAGATCGTAGCACTTATGACGTCATCAGTCACTTGCCGCCAGTACGTGAAGGTCAGCAATTAATTTTACGGATTACTTTATCCCCCCACCCCCCTTACATCCGCATGTATCATTACAAATGTAGGACCCTATGGAGGAAAAAACATGAAAAAAAAAAGTTTTGTCATTTTATCTATTGTCAATTCATAAAATGGATTTATAATAAGAAAATCACTCAAAACAGACCATTTTATTAGTTTACTGGAGGAACCTGTAGTTATGTGGCCCTACTTGATGACGTTTATAGATTAATCACATTCGAATATAACTTTAAATGTGAGGTGTGCTAAATGAGTCTTGTTGTGCGCGTGTTCCTGAAAGTTAAATATAAACCACGTAGTCGGAACAGGTAAGTGGTTGTCCTTGTACGTATTTTGCATGCCGTGGCTTAGTAACTATTGTGGTTCTGATTCTTTTAGTATGAATGTTTTGGTTCCCTACTGCGATATACCTACTGGGTGTCACGTAATGGCACTGTGATGCGTAACTGGGGGTCACCTACCGGATATGATGGTTGTCTGTGTGGATATAGAGGTAAGTCGACATTGCTATATACATAATATTAATTATATATATATATATATGTGTGTATATATATATGTATATATATATACATATTTATTTATTTATAGAATATATATATATATTCAAATTATAATAATTATTAATTTCAATATGCTATTCTACCCCATGCAATAACTCCACTATGTGTGTTCTGCTTGTAATTACAGTACGTCATTTTTTCGTATTTCTGTAAATTCCAAAATTGTTTACACACGTATACACACACCATTAACACAGAAACACGCACTCCAACCAACTTATATACGCCTCGGCATAGTGTGGAAAATAAATTTTGGTAATAATCGGTCATTTTTTATTATTCTTGTTTAAGGCGCTTGCTATTCAGCCTCGGTTGTCTGTAATTGTAACGAAAACGATAATGTGCTCCGAGTCGATGATGGATATATTGATGATATCTCTACTCTACCGGTCATTAGGCTACACCATGGCGACACAGGACATGCCAATGAATATGGTACGAGCACAATTGGACCATTAGAATGTTCAGGTAAACCACAACTTTGTTAGAAACAGTAACAGGAGTATCCGAAGGGCCTGTGTCCCGGATAAGGTAAGGGACAGATCTTCACGACGATTGCGTAAGTGGGCGTAGGCAGAATCCCTCGGAAGGGATCTAGAGAAGAAGCGACTGGAGCTATGATTATTCAAGGATTTGAAAAGGTTATTTAATCGATTTTAATGTCTAACAATATTAAAATATATATAAAAAAAACCATATTATTATGTTTTTCCCTGGCGAATTGTAATTTTTTTCACCAACGGGAACCAGCTTTCCCGGCCCCCGCTCGCACCAGCACTATAAAAAGCTGCAGAATTTTAAACAAGCTTAATTGTAATTAATTAAATCATTTCAGGCATAATGGGTATAAAGTGTATGGTATATATCTGTAATAATTGCTTACTGTTATAATACATGCATTACTATTGTTATATACATATGCGTGTATTTTCAGTTAGAGAGTACTGTTTTTCCCTTCTTTTTATTTGTTTTTATTATTTCATATTTAAAGTTACTGTATTTATTTATAAGGGGGTGGGTCATTCCTCAAGCCTTAATTGGCTTATTGACTCACTCCCACACTAAATTGTACTTAATAAAACATGAAAACAATTTGATTGATTTGATTGATTATTAATGATATATTTCTACTCCTCAATTTAAGTCTGTATTTTACTTGTTTACAGGCTTGAAGGTTCAGGTTGCAGCCCATTTTCAAGTAATGCAATTATACGGCAATGTATGCCTATCTGGATACGTTTTAGCAACGTACAGTGTTGCGTCTATCATCAAATGTGTCGCCTCTTGTCAGAAACACGAGTTGTGTCAATCGTTGAGCGTCATTTCTATTAATGATGGCAACACGATGATGAGGTGCACTTTGAATTACCGATCAGCAAGAGTGGTTCCCAATAATCAACTTACCGTTGACAGCGAGTGCAAACATTTTGAATTTTTTTGAAATTTTGAAATAATGTGTTTATTTTCCGTATTACTAAACATGATTATCTATACAGTACATTATCATCATTGCTAATACAGAAGGTGCGTACTCTTCGATTGCTTACCCTCTAGTATGTGAACGTCGGAATTAGTTTAGATAAATAGAATATGACCACTAAAAGAAGAGAGCTAAATGCATGCTGATGCTGTATGCTATCTCGTTCAGTTATTTCTTTATTTCGTAATGTCAGAAATGCAGTGATAAGATCATGTTTTATGATTTACAAAGCATTATTGTTGGACATAGCGTTACGTTTAGGTACAGTTTTTTTTTATAGCAGGTTCATATCATTTTTCATAACATAAAATATTTAGAAACAACTAAAATGATATGGAACAGCAGAAATGTTAATTGGTATAGAGACATGTATCTCTCCATCATTTTCCTTCGAACAGTTTTTGTTTGCATTAAAATTAAAATTAACATGATTTACAATAGGTAGGCCTGCAACCCAACGTATTTTAGTCAGAGGCAGCTAAAGCAAAGTTTTACTGTAACTTATTTGAAGAACGGAAAACGACTGTGCCTGAAAACAGATTGTGCTTAAAAACCGACTGTGTTTGAAAGTTGCCCTTTTGGCGTTCCGTATAAAGCCGCAAAACAACTGACTGAGACACGGCTAGCGAATGTGGAAGATATGTACACACATGCACATGCTCCTCGCGAGACAGGTACCGGTCCGGTGAAAAACGACGATAAGAGTAATTATTTTTCCTCAATCTAAAATATGGATGATATTCACTTCGTATTATCGAGCATTTGATGATCTATGTTGTTAGGCATATAGATTTTAAGACCGGTAGGTTTCGAATCCCAGATTTTTATTGATGGCCTTGGCTTTGCATCTTGTCCGTAGGCTTTGCAATAAGCGCAGTATAATATAGCTTATTGATATTAAATAATTATTATTTTACAATTGTATTTATGATGCAATAAGAGTATATTATTATATATTTAAAACAATACCACCACTGTACAAGTACATTGTTATGTACACATAAAAGTGGAGTACTTTTCTATTTGACGATTGTAGAATGTGATATATATCAAGTCAACATACCAAAGTATATATTTTCAGGCCCGTATCCAGCTTTTTTAAAAGGGGGGGGGGGT